TGCCGATGGCACAGGCGTGAGCTGCCCCGTGCCCCGCCCGAGCAGCACACACTGGGAAGGATCCCGTCACCATGGGCGAGCCCTACAGGGAGTGCCACCAGCTGTGCAGAGGGGGCTCTTGTGTTACAGGGTGACCGGAGTTCAGTTTGGGGTACCCTTGGCTGCTTCATGTGTGGCGTGACACCCAGGTCATTGAAGGCCCCCATCCAAGTCTGGGTTAGGGTCAGCGGGGAGACGCTGGGAGCTGGGGGGGGCAGGGCAGGGCAGGCCCCGGCGAGACTGTCACTGTCAAGGGCCACGGCCCGTCAGCCTTGGCGTAGGCACATTTCTGTCCTCTGCCTCTGATGGTCCCGGAAGCCTCGGTCACCTCTCTGGTGCCTCCACAGATTGGAAGCCAGGAAAAGGAGGGAAAGCCTGCCAGGGTGGCCCCCCACTGCCCTCAGGGTCTCTACCACGGGGCTAACCGAGGGGCCCGCACAGCCAAAGCGCAGTTTGGTCCGCAGTTCCGTCGGGGTCGTGGTCGGGGCCGCGCCCGGGGAGGACACCCGGCGCCCCGCTGGCTGTGCAGTTCTCCTGGAGGGTGCTGTACCAGTCGGGCTCCGTGTTGCGGAGACACTGTCCTCTGCTCTCGGCTCGGCTCTGTGAACAGGGCCTCGCACATTGACCCGATAGGTGGCCAGTGGAGAAAGGTTGATCACGTGCACACGTACAGGTCGTTCTAGAAAGGGGGACCTTGCAGGGTGTCAGGGCTCATATGCATCCACAGAGGGCAGCGCATCGCTGGGTGGTGACACTAGGAGTGGGAAGTGGGTGCCCCGGGCAGCAGGTGGGGACGCAGACGGGGGCGGTGGGAGGCAGGGTGCTCGGCGACTCAGTGTTCCTTCTCAGGGCAGTCTGGTGGTGTGGTTGTTAAAACACTGGATCCTACAGCCAGCTCCACAGTTCGAGTCCCAGACCTGGTGGCTTGAAAAGCACAGTGGTTGGGACCAGCAGATGGCAAAATGGCTATGTCGCTGGACTCCCTCATGGCTGACCGTGGTTCGAGTCCAGGACCTGGTGGCTCAGAACACACTGGATACGTGCGTGTGCCTGCCTAAGGTCCAGGAGGAGGGGGGAGAAGGGGTTTCAGCGTGGCCATCCCCTGGGGAGTGGTTACTCACTCTCCCTCCTACTGTCTCTGTCTCTCTCAGGTGAGCGCATGTACACTATGGCAAAAATCTCTCTATAGGGCACACACGCTCGCCAGAAGAACAGGGAGAGACAGAGAGATAGAAAGTGAGAAATCGCCCCCAGGGGGGGTGGCCACGCCGCAGTCCCTTCTCCGTTCTCCTCTGGGGATCTTTGGCGTGGATGCACACGCACCCAGCATGAGTTTACTTCATGAAGTTTGTGAGCAAAACAGGGAGAGAGACAGCACCCGCGGGCCCCCCAGCTGTGGCTGCCGGGGTCACGGGGTGCCTGACTCCTCCACGCAGAGATGCAGGCCCTGCCCTGTGGTTGTTCGTGCAGAGGGTCGTGGGACTGCCGGGCCCCGGCTGGCACCACGGATGGTCTTGGAGCGGAAGCTGACTTGTGCCGTTTCTGGTGAGCGTGTCTGTGCAGGCTCCCTGGAGAGCTGGTGGCGGCCTAGTGCTTCGCCTTCCAGCCGTGGCCGCTCCTCACCCTGCGGCCTCAGCCGCGCCGCGCGGGCGTGTTACTGTCATAGGCCAAGTGTCGGGAGCACCCCGGGTGCTCTCCCGTGAGGGCTGCTGGCTGTGCGCAGCTCACGGCTCCTGAGCTTCGGGGCCAACCTTGTGGTCACGGACTTTTCCATTAAAGCATTTTCGAGGGGCTGGCAGGTGGTGTGGCGGTCAAGGGCGCTGGGTTCCCACGTGGCCGGCCGCGGTCCTGATGACCTGCTGTCTCACTCTCTCTCTCGCTCTCTTGCTCTGTCCTTCTCTGGTCAGATTAAAATAAATAAAGTCACATAAACTAATTCTTTGGAAAAAAAAAGTTTGAAGATTTGCGATGAAATACATGTGGGCGTGGGGGCAGAGGGGCACTGCCGTGGAGCCTGCCACACCGTGACCTGGCCTCCCGCCCACCTGCCTGCAGCACCGGCGTGCTCACCAGGTGACCGGCTGGGTCAGGACTGCGGTCACCACGGAGGTCTTCTCTTGAGCAGGCGTCACTGCCGTGCCTGGAGCTGGCCTGCAGTGCTTCGCTTACATACTTGGCCTTTAAGTCCCTATTTTGGGACCAGCAGTTGACGTAATGGCTGTGTCGCTGGACTCCTGTGTACTTGACTGCGATTTGAGTCCTGGACCCGGTGGCTTAAACTCACACCGGGCGCAAGATCCCGAGAGGAGAAGGGAGGAGAAGGGATTGCCGTGTGGCCATCCCCCCATGGGGGGTGATTTTTCGCTTTCTGTCTCTCTGTCTCTGTCTGTCTTTCTGGTGAGAGAGCTAAAACCTCTCCCAAAAAATCCAAAAACTTAACCTATTTTTTTTTTTTAAGAATTGCTTTATTATTATTTTCCAATTTGAGAGAGAGAGGGACAGTGAGAAAGGAAGCCACCAGGTCCAGGATTTGAACTATAGTTGGCCCAGTGGGAGTCCAGTGCCTTTAGCCACCATGCCAACTGCTGGCCCCAAGTTCACCTGTTTTTAAGATAGTGGGCACACACCCTCTGTCACTAGAGAGAGACAGGGAGGGGGAGAAAGCATTCTGATGGGCACGTCACACCTCACTCCTTTCTCCCACACCCCCCCCCCGCCCGGACTCGGGCACGCATGCATATACGCCGAGTATGTTCTTCTGAGTTGCTGGGGCCAGGATTTGAACCACGTTTGGCCTCCTGCTGTCTTATGCCCTAGGCTGAGAGTTGGCCTTGCACTTTTTATTTTGTGGGTCTTGTTTTGTTTTTGGGAGAGACACAACCCTAGGGGGCTGGCCGTGCCATTTCTGCCTGGAGAGTGCTCTGAGACGCCAGGCGTGGGACTCGAACTGCCCAGTCAGCCACGTGGGAGCCAGCCCTCTTATCTGTCACAGTTTTAGTGCAGTGTCCTCTGCATGGCTGGTGTTGGCTCAGGGTCGAGCTGGCCTCTCTCCTGCCTGTCCCTGTCCAGCGGAGGCCGCGGGAGCAGCCTCCTTCCTCGGGTCGTCTTGGCCCCGGGGCCCAGGCCATCTCTGCCGGTGTCTGGAAGCAGCACTGGTGGCCCGAGCACAGCCGGGAGGGCGCCCCTGTAAGCCCAGAGGTGCTCAAGCAGTCAGGCCTCGGCCAGCCGGGTCGGGGCAGGTCTCGCTGGGAAGGTGGGGCGGGTGGGTGTGGGGCCAGTCCCGGCCTCCCACGTGTCCCCTGCACCTGCTCGGTTGGTTGTCACTGGGAGACGGCTGCTTTCAGAGAGCGTTCTCGGGAGGGTGCGTCCCGCCACTCCTGACCGCGGCCTCGTCGTCTGTGCTCACAGCAGGCACCCTGGCTCTGCAGTGCCCTCGCTCACTTTGTCTGCTTTCCAGCAGAACCCGCTCGCCGTGTCTGCAGCGGCTCGCCTGGGCCCCAGCGTGAGCTCCAGCCTGCCACCCAGCGCCGACTCGGGCAGCTCTTCCCCGACCACGCCGCCCACCCTGCCGCGCAGCCCCACTGGCAACGCTGTCATCGAGGTGGTCCCAGGTAAGCTGCTGACAGGTCTCTGTGTCGTCACTGCTCCAGAGGAACGTTTCTGTCTAGGAAAAGCCAGCTGTGTACTTCTGGTCACGCGTGTGCTGCGTGTGGTTGTGAAAACAAGCCCGACTCGCTGAAAAGCTCGGGGGCCTCGTGTGAGCCCAGGCCTGGGCACTGGGAGCGGAGGACCGGGCTCCGGCTGCAGAGCCCAGCAGAGGAGGCAACGCCTCCCACCAGAGACCAAAGCCCAGGGCCGTGAGGGTGGGAGTAGCAGGCATGGGGCCAGTGCTGGCATCCGAGGGGCCAGTGACAGTGAGGAGGGCAGTAGGTGTGTCCGAGGGTGCACTTCGAGGCATTTTGTGTGGCCGGGCCCTACCGACCCTGCCCAGGCTTCACGTGGTCACTTCTCCAAATTGCTGGGACCCTGTGACTGGCTGTACCTCCCCTGCAACCCTGGTGTTCCTGCATGACACCCTGGTGTGTCTGCCGGAGAACCCTCTAGCATTCAGGGCCCAGCCCACCCTCAACAAGTGGTAGGGAGAGCGGCTGTCCCCAAAGCCCCTCTGCTCTGCTGTGTCATCAGGCAGGAGTGGCCCCTTGACCCCGCTGCCATGTGTCAGCCGGCAGCCCTGATGTTGCTCGGGGGGTGGCACGTACTGCCCTTCCTGCCTGAAGACATGCCCCTTGCACACTGTCTGGGGCACGCTGACGTCCTGTCTCAGCTCCCTGCCTGGTTTGGGGCCAGGATCACGCTTCCACCCCATTCTGTGCTCTGGTCTGTCTGGAAAACCGCCTGGCCCCATGCGTGCTCTGTAGGCACACTGGCGCTGGCCCCATGCGTGCTCTGTGACCACACTGGTGTGAATCTTCTCTTGAGCAAAAGCAAACCCAAGTCCACGTGATGCCGGCCTGAGGCGGGTGACGAGCGTCCCCTTGATCCGTGGAGGTCCCGTGAGCTGGTCATTCGAGTCTAGTGTGGCATCGTCACAGTGAGTGAGCCCTAGAGCTCAAGGCCCGGAAACCTGCCAGGGCGCACCATCCAGTTCACGTTGGCACCGCTGATCTGGAGCTGGGGGGTAGGAGCATGGGTGGTCAGTTAGTGTGGCAGCTGGAACACAAGCTGGGGAAGTCCCCATGGTGCTCGGGCCCCGGGGAGGCCTCGGCCTCTTGGAAGAAGCAGTTACCAGAGAGTCCTGTCCAGGTGACAGTGCCACTGCCCTGCACTAGTGTGCAGGGCTTCGGTGCTTGGTGGCTTCTGGGTGCATGCCCAGTGGCTCCCGGCAGGCCAGTGCCCAGCACCGTGACTGGGCTGGCTGAGGCAGGGCAATGGCAAGCCATGGCCGGTTAGCGGGACTCTCTCACTGGTGCGGGAAACAAGCCGCAGAGAAGAAAAGGACCCTCTGCTCAGTGCATTCTTGGGGTCGGGCATGAGTGTGGGCAGCACTTCGCTGTCATGAGGCTGAAGTCGTGGGGGCATAGAGTGCCTGGGTCCTGTCCCCACTTGGACATGTGACAAGCCATAGGCACGGGTACTGTGTCTTAGGACTTTTTTACAGATAACACCAATTTTTTTGTTTGTTTATTTTCTTTTTTGTTTGTTTGTTTTGTTTTGTTTTTTGAGAGATTTTTGCTCTAGGGCGCGTGCGCTCGCCAGAAAGAAAGAGTGAGACAGAGAGACAGAAAGCGAGAAATCACCCCCTGGGGGGATCGCCACGCCGCAATCCCTTCTCCATTCTCCTCTCAGGATCTTGGGCACACACGCACACGTGCCCGGTGTGAATTCAAGACACCGAGTCTGGGACTCGAACTGGGGTCGACCACATGGGAGTCCAGCGACATAGCCATTATGCCAGCTGCTGGCCCCACGAATTTTGTTTTTGAAATAACATCCCTTTTTTACTTTCTTCTATATAGAGGTATGGCCAGCTTGATAGCCCAGTGGTTAAGGCAGCTTGGTACCCCGCGTCCAGCAATGGTTCGAGCCCTGACTTCTGTGCCCTGAAAAGCACCAGGCCATGTGGGTGTGTGCCCCAACTCCCAACAGCGGGAGAAATGGAAGAGAAGGGACCGTGGCATGACTGGGGGTGCTTTCTCTCTGTCCCTCTCTTTCTCTGGCAAGCGCACGTGCCCTCTGGCAATTAAAAAAAATGTTGTAAAAGATAGGCATCCCAGGAGAGCACCCAGCAGTGTGAGCCCTGGGCCGCGCACGGTCCCTGCTGCCAGGGCGAGAGTGGAGCCTGTGCCGTTGAGCTCGCCACCGGATACCGGCACCGCGGGACTCCGGGCCATGGTGGTCAGGGTATCACTAGGGACTTCCCCAGCTGTCATTTAATACGTTTCTTAAAAGGTAGTTTCTTTTTTTAGAGTTTTTTTTAATATATTTTTTCCCTGCTATAGGGCGTGTGCGCTCGCCAGACAGAGACAGAGAGACAGAAAGTGAGAAATCACCCCCCAGGGGGTTGGCCACGCTGCAATCCCTTCTCTTCCCTTCTCTTGGGATCTTGGACACGCACGCACATGCACCTGGCGTGAGTTTTAAGCCACCGGGTCGGGGATGCGAACCGCAGTCGACTACGTGGGAGTCCAGCAACATAGCCATTACGCTAACTGCTGGTTCCCAGAGTTTTTTTTTTGGAAGGGGCATGGGGCCAGTGCTGGCATCTGAAGGGGGGCCAGTGAGAATGAGGGCATGTGCACTTGCCAAAGAGACGGAGACAGCAAAAAATCACCCCCCAGAGGGCATGGCCACACCGCAAGCCCTTCTCTTCCATTCTCCTCTCGGGATCTTGGGCACGCACACACACGTCCGGTTTGAGTTTTAAGTTGCTGGGTCTGGGACTCAAACCGTAACTGACTACATGGGAGTCCAGTGATATAGCCGTCATGCCATCTGCTGGTCCCAAAGGGTCGTTTCTTTCTTTGTTCTGAGAGACGCAGACGATAGGGCCTTCATGCTGCAGCCTACAACAGCCACAGCAGCCAGGGTCATAGAGACACGTGCACGTGTGCACCTGGCGTGTCCAGGGAGACCTCAGGACAGGCTCCTACTGCCCCATGTGTCTCCAGCCAGCCTGAAGTGTGTCCTTCATAGACTAGACTTCCGGAGCCAGCCATGCCCAGGTGAGGCGGTGGACCTGCCAGGATTAGCATGGCCTGGTTCATGGTAGAGCGGGCAGCTGCCCCGTTGGGAGTGGGAGCTTTGCTCAGGGGCGCCCTCCTCACTAGTGTCATCCGAGCAGCCTGAGGTCCCCTGGGAAGTGACGCTATAGTGAGGAGCACCAGGGACTGTCCTGCAGGGTCCGGTCCCCGGCCGGGCTCCTGTCTCTGCTGAAATGTCTGGTTGCTGCTGTGGAGACGGGTCCAGGACTTCAGTCTCCTGTAGTGTCCTTCAAGTCGCATGGTGGATTACTTCCTCTGAACAGCAGGAGTGAGGGCTGAAACCCGGGGTGCCCTGTACGGAGGAGTCCCAGGATTTAATGATGTCCTTTCAGGCATAGATGTCACTTTTCTTTGCCTTTCATACAAAAAGGCATGACCAGGGTGACAGTGACCTGAGAGGAGCAGAGTTGAGGGGTGTGGCCTCAGCTCCAGACTGGGGCGAGGGGTGAGCCGCTGTCCGGTCCTGAGCAACCCGGGACACAGGTGGGCAGGACAGGGCACAAGACCCCTCCCAACCCTCATGAGTGGCAGCTGGGCCCCGTTAGCGGTCCCGCGTGCCGCTGGTTGGGTCTATCCGGCCTGGTGCTAGGAAACGGCGCCCCTTTCTCGGGCAACCCAGCTTCAGGGTCGGGCAGAGCCGGGTTCTGCGAGGAAACCGAGCAGCGAAGCCTTCCTAGGCGCACCTGTTCGCCCGGCCGCCC